ATCAATAGATATAAACAATTCACCAAAGTTTCATAAGAACTGCTGAAAGCACTTTTTTTTGTCCGAAAACTGGAAAATCCCCCTTTTTTTATGAATAAAACCCTGTAACTCGGAAACGTGAAATCTAAAATACATAAAAATTGAAAGGGAGCTCATGTCAATAGATATAAACAATTCACCACAATTTCTTGCAAGTTGGTGAAAGCATTCTTGAGTTATTGTCTGAAAACTGGAAAATCCCCCTTTTTTAATGAATAAAACCCCATAACTCGGAAACTTAAAATCTAAAATTTATAAAAAACGAAAGGGAGCTCACATCAATAGATATAAACAATTCACCAAAGTTTTATGCAAATTGGTTAAGGCGTTTTTTAGTTAATGTCCGACATGTTGACAACGGACGGACAGACGGACAGACGGACGGACGGACGGACGGACAGACGGACAGAGGTATACCATAATACGTCCCGTAAACGGGCGTATAAAAATTCTAATATATTTTGTTTTGTCATTGGCAAGTATCATTTTCATCCTTGCTTTAAATTATATACCATAGTGACTATATATCATGAATTTTTCTCATGTTTATAATCATTGCTAAATTCAAAGTAGACATAAAGCAAAAGTCAACCAGAATTTCCAGGGCTATCTTATTGTCTTTTTTAATTAATTATGAACCTAGTTAAAATCCAACCTACATATTTTCTTAGCATACCAAAAGGCCTTTAGAACAAGTGCATAGAAATATAGACATATTTGAAGAAAAAAAATTTGTAAGGGTTCCGCGGAACCCAGTGTCTCGCCTACTTTTGCTGTTAGTCGCAGGCTCAACAAAAATGGGGAAAAAATTATTAAACATTTTCCTCTAGATACTATCTTTTGATTGTAGGAAGCTTCTATCAAAGTTTGCTAAAAATCCAGGATGGTTTATGAATCTAAAAAATGTTTTGAAAACTTTAACTTTAACTGCAGACTGTATGTAATGTTAACTAGAAGAAAAACTAAGTCAATTTATAAGTAATATACAGAAAAACTGGAAATAAATTTTTACAAAATTTCAAGCTAGATACTAGCTTTTGATTATAAACAAGCTTCTGTCCAAGTTTGGTACAAATCCAGGATAGTTTAAGAAAGTTATCAAAATTTTAAAAACTTTAACCAAAGTGGATGTAATGTTAGCTGGTAGAAAAATAAGTAAAATACTGATAAAAAGGATTTTTTTTTTTTACAAAATTTACTTCTGGATACTCTCTTATGATCACAAACAAGCTTCTGTCCAAATTTGGTAGAAATCTAGGATAATTTAAGAAAGTTATTAAAATTTCAAATACTTTAACCACAGAGTGAATATTTGTGGACGCCGCCGCTGTAGCCGACGGAATGTAGGATCGCTGTCTCGCTTTTGCGACAAAAGTCGCAGGCTCGACAAAAAAGAATATTTTCGCAAATTCTAAAAAAGCTTGAGAAAATCTGGTAGCACTGTCTTTTTCAATCAACTAATGATATGCAAAATTAAGCTAATTACATTCATTCCTCATTTTTCAGTCAAAATGCTTTTATCATCTGATTAAGCATTAAAGGTAAAAACCCTATTCTAAAAACTAGTTTCACCTCAATCTATATAAATGTCCCTATTCAAAATGGTGAACTTCTTCATTGTTTTTTTCTGTCATATCTCTGTTTTTTTGTCCTTAAAGAAGCTGGTGTTGATGGCATTCTTTAGTAGTAGCTTTTTAAAATTTAATCACAGCTTGTCTAGATTCAGGGCAATCAAGAACTTGTCATGTCTTCTGGTTTTTTTTTGTGCTGTTGGATTGTTGCCTAATTGACAAATACCTCCCATGTTCTTTTATTCATAAAAATATCAAAGAACTAACCAGTGCCACCATTTTTATCAACTTGTTGAATATCTACATCAGACCGTAAGAAAACTGTGACCACATCATCAGCACCTTTCCCTCCCGCCCACATAAACGCTGATCTTCCTTCCACATCTGGTTCATCTACTACTATCTTGTATGTCAGGAACACAGCTACTGTATCCTGGAATTGATCCATAAATGAATGAATACATATACAAAGAGAATTTTTACAGGCTGTGAATCAGCAGATGTCACACATAAAGGAGGAACTGTACATTCTTCAAGAGCACCTAAATTCACATCTCCTTTTTGTGGGGTTTGTTTTGTTAACTTTTGATTTTAATATATGTTTTGAGGACTGTGGTTCATTTCCATCTTTTTGTTATTATGGCATGGTGCTATCTGTCCATTACCAACTTTTATTTTCGTTTTGCTATTGTGATGTATGTCCTTTATGGACTTGGTATCCATGTCTGATTGGTCACTTGGTACATTCTCTGATTTCTTTTAAAGTCTCTTCATCAAACATGTCAAATATGTTATTTTAGGGATTGGAATTATTTTTCATTTGATTAACCACACAAAATAAAAATTTTGTCCACTGCATCACCTTTTATGTACATTAAGGGATATCACAATAACCTGTAACATATTTAAATTCTTAGGTCAAAAACCTTTTAATATTGTGAAAGGAAAGCATCATCTGACAGACCTTTCAAAGCTTGATTGAATAATATCAAATCAAATACTGTAAATTCAGAAATTATTGCAAAATTAAGTTTTTTTTGTATGCAACTTCCAGATTTTTTCAATGTACAATGAAATGAATTTTGAGATTGTGTTTTCAAAATCTGAATAAATTCACTGTCAGTGAATATTTGCATTTGCAGGGTCCAGATATAAATTTTGATTTCAAGTAATGTAGTAAAATTCATTAGACAAATAAATTCAAAGGCCTTAAGGAAAAAAAAAATGCACTGGAAATATCAGAGATCAGATAATTTTAAAAATAACATAAAATTTAATTTATTTTGTCAAATGACAATTTTTGTCATTTTTTTGTTGCAGTTATTTCCTTTTGACTGTAAGTTATGTAAAGACAACAGTAAATAACTAGAGGCTCTCAAGAGCCTGTGTCGCTCACCTGATTCTACTTTCATTTTGAAAATCATGTAAAAATAGATTAAAATCATAAAAGATACCTAACTAGATATCATTGAGATGGGAGCCATCTCTGTGGGCCCCGCTGTGAATAATTTGTGGTAAAAAATTTGTATCTTTATCATTGAACATTGGGTTGTCAACTGAAACCGAAGTTTATGACCTTGACCTTTGACCTAGGAAGTTGTACATAAATTATGACACACCCTCTGGTGTTGGTTTATATACATGTAAAGTATAAACTTTGAAATCATAACGGTTCTCAAGATATAGAGCGGACATGATCTTTACCATAGGACATAGGGTTGTCAACTAAAACCAAAGTTTTTGACCTAGGAAGTTGTACATACATTATGACACACCCTCTGGTGTTGGTTTATATACATGTCAAGTATAAAATTTGAAATCATAACGGTTCTCAAGATATAGAGCGGACACGATCTTTACCATAGGACATGGGGTTGTCAACTAAAACCAGTTTTTTACCTTGACCTTTGACCTTTGACCTAGGAAGTTGTACATACATTATGACACACCCTCTGGTGTTGGTTAATATACATGCCAAGTATAAACTTTGAAATCCTAACGGTTCTTTAGATATAGAGCGGACACAATTTGTTAAGGACAGACGGACAGACGGACGGACGGACAGTCAGACGGACGGACAGACCGATCACCATAGGGCGTCCGCCATTAGGCAGGGCCCTTATAATGAGTGAGGCCAAATTTGGTTTAATATTGGCCCTGTAATTTAATAAAAAATCCTGGTGGCCATCTTGATCTATGAACAGTAAATTGGCAACAAAGTAGCAACACTTCATCAGCACCTCATAAGAAACATTTATGCCATGTTTGGTTTCATTCCATTCAGTGCACCTCTAGAAGAAGCAGATGTATGTATTTCCAATAAGGTCTTATGTTTAAGGCAGTCCCCCCGCTTGCGGACATCATGGATGATGGATAAGCTTCAAAGTAACAACACTTAGTCAGCACCTCATAAGGAACATTCATGCCATGTTTGGTTTCAATCCATTCAGTAGTTCTCTAAAAGAAGACATGTGTATGTATTGTCAATAGGGTCCTATGCTAAACCAAGTCCCAGCTGGCGGCCATCTTGGAATATGGATCGGCTTCAAAGTAACAACACTTGGTCAGCACCTCATAAGGAACATTCATGCAATGTTTCATTATGTTTGGTTTCAGTCCATTTAGTGGTTCCCTAGAAGAAGACATTTGTATGTATTTCCCATAGGGTCCTATGTTAAACTAAGTCCCCCCCCCCCCCTCAAAGCGGCCATCTTGGATGAGGGATCGGCTTCAAAGTAACAACACTTGGTCAGCACCTCATAAGAAACATTCATGCTATGTTTGATTTAATTCCATTCAGTGGTTCTCTAAAAGAAGACATTTGTATGTATTTCCCATAGGGTCCTATGTTAAACTAAGTCCCCTGCTGGCGGCCATCTTGGAATATGGATCAGCTTCAAAGTTACAACACTTGGTCAGCACCTCATAAGGAACATTCATTCCATATTTGGTTTCATTCCATTCAGTGGTTCTCTAAAAGAAGACATTTGTATGTATTTCCCATAGGGTCCAATGTTAAACTAAGTCCCCAGCTGGCAACCATCTTGGATGATGGATCGGCTTCAAAGTAACAACACTTGGTCAGCACCTCATAAGGAACATTCATGCCATGTTTGGTTTCATTCCATTCAGTGGTTCTCTAGAAGAAGTTCAAAATGTAAAAAGTTAACGACGATGACAGACGACGACGGACGCCAAGTGATGAGAAAAGCTCACTTGGCCCTTGGGGCCAGGTGAGCTAAAAATGTATGATCAAATAATTTTAAACATTAAGTGTGAAAACAAGTTTCCACAAAATTCAATCTTTTAGTCATTTGCCAATTTTTTCAATTTTTATTACAGTTATTGCCCTTTGACTGTAAGCTATGCAAAGACAACATTAGAAATTACTCACTATTCCTGAAACCAGTGTTAAGCTTCTTACCTAAAACTGCAGCCCAATGTAGAGGTGTTCTAAACATATTATCTAAAGCTGATATATTACTGTTTACAACAGAAATCTGAAATATAGTTTTCAAATCTTTATATAATTGTATTTTTCTTTCATACAATTTGATTACTTTCATTGGGTTATCATTATTTTTTGGGAATACTTGTCATTTTAATTATAATAAAAGAAAAATTCATATGCTAGTGTCATTTTGTATTGATGAGGATATAAGGAATTAAAACACCTTATAAATCAAAACAATATGGGTTTTGGTGAGATACTGTGTGTTCATTTATATTCATGGGTATCATTTTTGTGAATTGTTATAACAGGAATAAATTGTATGTTTGTAGTTATTGATTTATTGTGGTTTTGCCAATAAAATTTGTAATTAGTTGAACATATAATTATGTGGATCACCTTTACCCATGAAATCCACTGAAATTGATATTCCAGGAATAACAAGCATTCTGAGAGTATTGCATGGCAATACAAAGTCCCCTATATATATATATATCTACCAGTTAAAAATTCATTGTACTGGAACAAAATGCTAACTTGATCTATAACATGTCATGGTGTAAACTATATAACAAATATCTAGTCAATATCTTCAAGCATGACAAAAAAAGGTTTAGAAAACCGATTATTTGAGTGAATTTTCTAAGTCCAAGGACCATAACTCTGCACAAAATTATCAGACCGGAAAACAAAATTCGAACTTGATCTGTAACTTGTCATGCCTACTTCATCGGTAGGGGACTAATAATGAATCCACAGTATTACAAATTCTTTAAAGTTTGTGTTGACAACACATTAATACTTAATTCTAAAACTGTTGATTCCTGTTCAAAAGATACCAATCTTTTCTTTTATGCAATAACTAAATATTACTGAGATGTTCAAAATTTCTGAATTTTCCTATGATAAGTTTTGAAAACTGAAAATTGTTTTGAAAAAAAATTATTTGCAGCTTTTTTATAAATGACTACTGGGAATCAAACAACAAATACTTTAGATCTTTAACGTCATTACTAGCAAATGGTGCTAACTACAGACTTACTAGCACTTTCACAATAGATTCATTCCCATCAGCCACTGCTAAATGTAAGGCTGTTCTCCCTTCATAATCTGGCCAGTTTATAACAGTCGGTGTCGTTTCCTAAAAATATAGCAAAATTGTAAACTTATGTTGGGAAAGCATCTACAAAATGTATAGTATCAGCAGTCATAAATACATATAATACATCCTTGCAGCTTGTTTGTATTGGTGGACTATTACATGTAAAACTCTTATACAAAGATTGGCATTTTGTGGTGTTAATTTAAGTTGAAATTCAAAAACATTTACTAACACCTCAAATCAAAGCACTTTAACAGTAAAGTACCAACCATTCTTTTTTATCCAAGGCATGGCTACGATATTATCAGGAGCTAGAAAATTTAAATCATGTGATAGCAAAAACAATTCTTTTCAAGTATTTTCAAAAGGAACGTGGACATGACATCAAATTTTTTAATTTAGGATTGGAAAAAAATTTCCACATTTCCACCTTCTTGATGATTGTATTGGTTTACCTTTCAAACCAATTACCAATATAAGTCTGACACAACTAGGAGCTTCTGGATCCATACAGCTAGCTGCCCAATGTAAAGGAGTTTTACCTTCTATAGCAGGTATACCTATGTTTGAATCCTGAAAAAAAGAAATATATCAAAAGTTAAAGAACAAATTTTTAAGATTTTTAGCTTGACACTTGTAACAACTTTGGGCAAAGGAAAAAATAACAATGCAGACAAAATTTGATTAGCCTCATCAATAAGCCTCATCAGTGGTTGTTGTTGGTTGCTATCTATCTTATTTGTTTCAGTTTTTTTTTTGTAAATTAATGAGGCAGTTGTGTTTTTTTTTGCATTGGTAATAACGCTGAAGTGCGATGGATTACATAAAACTGTATTTTCAATGTTTTCGTGTTAACAAGTCGATGTAGAAGTCAATGTGTTTGTTAACAGCAGCTTTTCAGGTTTTTAAGTAAATTGTCTAAAAGTATGTAGCAAAACCAAATAGGACAATCACTCATTTAGTATGAAGCTGTACCTAAGACATACATAATATGAAATATATTCTTGTACTTCAATTGTTTCAAACACTGATTAAAGAGATATACGTAGGTATAGATGAACTTTCATATTAGCACTGCAGGGTACTTACATATGATATTCAAACAGTATACATATGATTATTAATAATCCTTTTTTGTTTGGTAAACAGGCTTATTCCAGAATGATAGTTCTATTAGCATTTTTTTCTATTTCAACCATTCACAAACATATCATCGATACTGAATTGCCAGAAGCATTTTAAGGACAATGATGAATGCAAATGTATAAATTTACTAATAATAAATGGGGAATGTGTCAATGGGACACAGATGATGCCCTTGCTTGCATATAACGTTATAAAGGGACATAACTCAAGAACGGTAAAAGTGACGTGACCCTTTGTACTTGATCTGAGTTTTGAGGTAATAAGCATTGTGTATAAGTTTCATGACATTTGGTTGCGGCAAACTTAAGTAAGAGAACGGAAACCAAAAATTCAGCAATTTTTCCATTTGTAAAGGGGCATAACTCTAGAACAGTAAAAGTGACGCCACCAAATTTCACACTTGCATTGTGTTTTGTGGTAATAAGCATTATGTATAAGATTCATAACGTTTGCTTGAGGCAAACTAAAGATAGAGAACGGAAACGAAAAATTCAGCAATTTTTCCATTTGTAAAGGGCATAACTCTAGAAGGGTAAAAGTGACGTCAAAGAAATTCAAATTTGATCTGTGCTTTGTAGTAATAAGCATTGTGTATAAGTTTCATGACATTTGGTTGCGGCAAACTTAAGTAAGAGAACGGAAACCAAAAATTCAGCAATTTTTCCATTTGTAAAGGGGCATAACTCTAGAACAGTAAAAGTGACGCCACCAAATTTCACACTTGCATTGTGTTTTGTGGTAATAAGCATTATGTATAAGATTCATAACGTTTGCTTGAGGCAAACTAAAGATAGAGAACGGAAACGAAAAATTCAGCAATTTTTCCATTTGTAAAGGGCATAACTCTAGAAGGGTAAAAGTGACGTCAAAGAAATTCAAATTTGATCTGTGCTTTGTAGTAATAAGCATTGTGTATAAGTTTCATAACATTTGGTTGAGGCAAACTAAAGTTAGAGAACGGAAACCAATTTCGGGACGTATGTTCGGAAGGACGGACAAACAGACAAGGGTAAAACTTAATGCCCCCTCCGGCATAATAAAATTAATTTCTCATAATAATAGCACATCTACAGATATTAAACTAGCAATCACACGTTATATAGACCATCGCATTTCGACAAAGACCATCGCACTGCAGCGTGATCATCGCACTACAGTGTGGTCATTGCACTGCAGCGTGATCATTGCACTACGGCATCCCCTTTGCACCTCTGAGTCCTACACATGAATTTACCCTGATTTACTCAACACTCAGGTCCAGTAATTTCTTCATTGCAAAAATTCATCAATTACAAGTGCCTGTGCAATGTTGTTTAACAGTATGTAAGTTATCGGTTTTGCTACACTATCTACTGTTTTAAAGTGTAACTTTATCATTCCTCTCCCATCTTACCTGCTTAAAATTAAAAGTTTTACATGTTCCACATTGCCATAGGAAGCTGCCCAGTGTAAAGCTGTCCTCTGAAAATAAATAAAAAGACTATATTGTAGGAACGACACAAATGGCCCCTCTCGCAAAAAAACTTGAAGCCATTTTAAGGAGTCCAAAGTCCATAGTCTGTAATTTTGGCAAAAATCAGTGGAGCGGAACCAAACATATACTCGAACTGTAACTCATCATAGTAGACTCACATACTAAAAATCAGCTCATCATGTGAAGGCGTTTAGAAAAAATATCTGTATAACTGTTCGTTGCAGAATGATGGAATGACAGAATAACAAATTGACGGAATGACCAAATGACAAAATGTCGGATAAGGGTAACACTATAAGGCCATGACTTAAGTCGGCAGGGCCATAATTCTGCTTTTCATACACATTTTTAAAAATGTAAAGTTTACTTATTATACTATGTACATTAACCTGACATAATAGGAGGTTAAGTTTTTATATTACTAATGTGATTTGAATTAATTTCATAAGTAACAAAGTTTTGATTCAAGTAAAAGTTCCAGTTTACTCAGTACACCAGTACACTGAATATTGCTCTTCTTATTTGACAACCAATTGATCATTCCATCCAATTACAAACTTTCTGCAAAGCATGGTCCTAACTGGAAGATTTTTTTATCATCACATTCACAAGTTTTAAATATTTCTACTTAAATAGGACAAAATTTTCAAATAAGCTTCATCAGAATTTAAGTATAAGATGGAATTCTTGTTAAAATAGTTTAACCCCCCCCCCCCCCCCTGACAGCAGTTGTAACAATTAATAACCCCTGAAAAAAAGTACAGGTTTCATGTTTCAAGCTTCATGTATGTGTCAGGCCGTTAGTGTTCTCGTTGAATTGTTTTACATTTGTCATTTAGGGGCCTTTTATAGCTGACTATGAGTCTGAGATATGGGATTTGCTCATTGTGGACAGCCGTACGGTGACCTATAGTTATCTTCTATATCATTTGGTCTCTGGTGGAGACTTGTCTCATTGGCAATTATACCACATCTTCTTATTTTTATAATTAAAGTCAGCCTATTTTGAGATCTATCTTCTGGTTGATATAACCTGCACATCTAGCAAAGAATTTGCTCAAACCAACGCTAGGCTAATTTTAAGCTTACAGTGATGTGAATGTTTGCACAATGTTAAAGGCCTCACTATGTATTTTAAGATGAAAAAAACAGCATTAAAAGTGCTCTACCCATGCTATGTTTTTTCACATATGTGTCATCAATGAATACAATTTATTATTGATTTTGTCATGAATCAGAACATTGTATTCTTCCCTTCTACTCCTTACAAGTGATTTGTTTAATCAACAGAGTTGAAAATCTACCATACTATTTTGGGTCTTTTAGTGATACCTTTTTCTTGTCTTGATCATCAATTTCCCCTGGGGACAGTTGCCGTAGTAACAAATTCATGCATTTTGTAGATTTATGTCGTGTACACAGATGGAGAACTGTTTGACCTTCATTATCTTTCTGTTTGATGTCAGCCCCCTTGGATAATAATAACTTCAGCAATCGATTATTGCCCTGTAATAAAAAAACAAACATATAATATTTGATAAGGCCAAAAATAAAATTTAAATTGTTTGATGTTGCCTACCTACCCACCTAAAAAGCAGCCTACCCAAAAAAATTTATTGATACAAATCGGTTCAAATTTTCCTGCTTCAAGGTTGTTTTCTTGTCTAAAACATGTGACTTATGTTGTTGGCCAAAAAAATAAATAAAATCCCTACATACCTACCCAACCCTACAAGGCATGGGTAGGCAACATCAAAAAAAGGATTTTTAAGGGTGGCCTTAGCTGACAATTACTTATTAAAGAAATGTTAGAACCTGCAAAGAATGTAAAAGTAATGCACAACATGATCCATGAAAAAGACAAGGATGTAAATATTTGTTTGTTCGCATTTAACGCCACTTTCAGAACATTTGCTATATCATGGAGGCATGTTTTTATTGGTAGATGAAGCCAAAAGACCCTCGTCAGTATAATTGTCAGTCCTTGTCAATGAAGATCGGGTTGAACTCCAAACCTCAGAGTTCACAGGCTAGAGATTCATGTAAATGCTCTTCTAAGACCACTTGGCCACCAAAGATGTAAAAACAAAAGTGATATAAATTCCTCATATTTCAATAATGTAAACAAACTCATTTTCACCAGTGATCATATAAAAACAATTTCACAAAAAGCCTTTAAACAATTTAGTGTGCCATATAAAGTATAAAGGCAAGTATATCACACAAAGAAGAGACAGATCTCTAACTAACACATTTTATCATACCCTTCCCTACATGTATGTGCAATATATTACCTGAAGCAGTCCAGACACATTCTAGTCTGGTACTTACTTTATGAGCTGCCCAATGTAGTGCTGTTCTACCTCCTTTGTCAGATCTATTAACCTGGGTCCCTGCTCGTAATAACAGCTCAGCACAATCCAGTCTATCAGCCAACACACAGAACATGAGAGGAGTCCGCCCAAACTGATCACCTGTATCTAATTCCTGAGTACTTGCTAAAATGGAACAAATAATCCAAAATATTATTCTCAACATTTAAATAACAAAGCAGGCCGAAAATTGAAGTTGATTGTAGGTTATGTTTGGGAATATGGCAGGAAAATCTCTAAAACCTTGAGAAAAACAAAACAACTGAGAGTCACTGTTACCATATCGAGGATAGACAGAGGTACAATAGTAGTATTAGCAAAATACTTAATGTTTAAAATTGAGCAAAATTCATATACAAGGATCCTACTGATAGAGATAAAAAAAGTTGGTGAGTTGAAATCTATAAAACACAAGCTTAGCCCTGCCATGTTTTAATGTGAATTTCACAATTCATGATTATAAATATTAATCTTTGGTTCTTATTGCCTAATTTCCTAATCATGCTAATAGGGCTTTGGTGTTGATAGCAGGTCCTTGTAAGTTGATAGATATAAGAAGATGTGGTATGAGTGCCAATGAGACAACTCTCCATCCAAGTCAAAATTTATAAAAGTAAACCATTATAGGTCAAAGTATGGTCTTCAACACACTCCTCTTATTCAAAAGACAACTTAAATGACCTACAGACTATTTGTTTGGCAAGTAAGGCTTTATCTCCATTGACAGCAGCCACATGCATCTGTGTGACTCCTTCCAACTCCTGCTCAATCTCGGCAACGTTATCCATCGATCCCACCATTCTCCATCTAGGAATGAAAATTAAAATACAACTTAAAATTGTATAAGATGATAAGGAATGGTTTAGAAATAAATGACGGGTGTTCTGAATGCAGTTGTTATTCTACCCCACCATGCATACAATTTTTTTTAAATTAAAAGAATATTTTCTATAATGGTTTTGGCTATCTTTTTAAAATGATCACCACCAATTAATTTTTCTTAAGAAGTGCCTTCAACCCACTCCCCCTCTTTTCTCTCCTGCAACACCTCTAATAGGTTTAATAATGCATACTTAATTATTTTCTGTTCATCATGTTCATTGTAAAATCCTTCATTTGTACTTTTGTTTATGATAATTTGGATCTCATTTCTAACATGTCTAAAGTGTAACCATACTTAACACAAACTGCACAAAACGCTACACCCTGACACCTATGATTTGTGCTAAAATTGACCAGATAAATAGATACTGAACATTTGATATGAATTATATATATTCTGGCAACAACAAATCTAGCTCTGATCAACTGTCTTACAGGAAATACTTGATCAGCTGTAGATAATGTTGAAATAATTGATATCAGACATGTCAGACTCAATATCAATATCATTGCACGGGGACCTAATATAATCATGATAACATAAATAAGGTCCAAGTATTGCATACTACATTTTTAAAATCATATGTTCTATAAAAAATAATTCTAAAAGTAAAAGCTAAAGATGATATCACATGATAGTTATCAAATGGAAGGAAGGTGTCTTTATATTTATTGATGATTGCTTAAAGTCGTGTCAGCAGGGAAAGGCCAGATTTCACCAAGTCAGTTCAACCAACATGACCAAGTGGAATTGGTGTAGCACATGTACAAGCTGAATCAAAAATAAATCACAATTTTTAGAAACATACCATCGTGTATGTGTTATCTCTACAATATTAATGGATACCTTTTTTCTCTTTCTTGCATAAAAACGTCAATATTTCACAGCCTGACAGGGAAATGATTTTAGCCAAGAAAATTTCTTTGATAATATTTGCTCCATGACTATCGATTGTAGAGAATATTTAATAAGTTACATTAGTTCAAAAGAAAATATTGAATACATTCATGCTAATATATTGATCTCATCCGTCTTAAACATATATATGAGTGTCAAATAAATAATATACACTGTAACAAAATTAATATACATATATATGCATGATATATTATATTTAAAATTTTACATAGTTAAAAGACAATGGCACACGCCAGTAAGGCTCTAACAACTGAACGTTGGCCAAAACGGTCATTATGTAACCAAATATTGACTATTTTTTGCATTTACACAAAACAGGAATTACTGATTGTCAAAAGATATAGGTGTCAAAGTACGTTTAAAGATTGCCAATTATAATAAGACGTATGTGTATTGTCGTATTTAATATCTCTATATCTTCCTTCATCAGATCATTGTCAGCGAGGTTTTGTCAAATTCAAGATTTAAAATTAAGATAATAATCTTGGTGTCTTTTAATTTATACAACCCACCTTACACTTAAGACCTAACATGACTAAAAAAGCATGAACAAGTTTTATTTGAATATCGTAGTTTATATATATATATATATGTATATATAGAATTGTGTAACATGTGCCACAGAAATTTAATTTTGGAAGATTTTTAGAACTTTTCTTCTTCTGAAAAGTCTCAGTCTGTTTATGAAATGTCATTGAATATTTATATTTACACAACAGTTTTTCATAATCATTCAAACAATGTTAATAAAACTCTCTCTTGCTTTTATCTTTTTTATAAGAATTTTGTTTTTGGAAATTCAAAATTCATTAACCAAAGGTCTTCATATTTATTTGGCGTTTTTTAAAAATTTTAGTCATAATTTTGGAAGGTAGTGAAAGGTTATTTTGTTTGCATCATGCTTGGCAGTTTTATGGGATGTGGGTTTTTTTCACACAGAAAGGCTGTTCTTCATTGGTTGCAACCAAAAACATCCTAAACATTTGTACATTCTTACAACTTCGCATTGTTTTGACCTTTTTACAACATGTATACCAGCGACAGCAATCTTGTAAAAAATAAATGGGGAATGTGTCAATGGGACACAAAATGATCATGATGATGCCCCCGCTTGCATATCATATAAAGTTATAAAGGGAAATATCTGAAGAAGGGTAAAAGTGACGCTACCCAAATTTGTACTTGATTTGAGTTTTGTGGTAATAAGTATTGTGTATAAGTTTCATAAAATTTGGTTGAGGCAAACTAAAGTTTCAGAAAAAGGGTGAAGGTTTGGTACCATTAAAACGTTTAAACCCGCTGCAATTGTTTGCACCTGTCCTAAGTCAGGAATCTGATGTTCAGTAGTTGTCGTTTGTTGATGTGGTTCATAAGTGTTTCTTGTTTCTAGTTTTTTATATAGATTAGACCGTTGGTTTTCCCGTTTGAATGGTTTTACACTAGTAATTTTTGGGGCCCTTTATAGCTTGCTGTTCGGTGTGAGCCAAGGCTCTGTGTTGAAGACTGCACTTTGACCTATAATGGTTAACTTTTATAAATTTTGACTTGGATGGAGAGTTGTCTCATTGGCACTCATACCACATCTTCTTATATCTAACAGAAACGAAAAATTCAGCAATTTTTCCATTTGTAAATGTACAAGATTCTTAATACATGTAAATAAATTTAAAACATATTTTTTTTTCAATTTCATTCTTTTTCAACAGTTACCAAATGGTTAGGGGGATGAGATGACACGCTTTTGGGATGTGGATTATGTATGATATAGGGGTAAGGGGTAAAAAAAAAATGTGGTATCTGGGAAAAAGAAGGGGAGAGGGGGAAATTAAAAAAAAAAGCAGGATTGGGAAATGAGCACCCTCGTGTCACCCCACTCAACAGTATGAAACCTTTGTCAGACATTGTCAGATACCAGAAATAAACCTTCCAATGTAATCTGCATTCCACGCAAAACAAAGCACAATCTTGTAAACGTCCTATCATCAATTGAAATGATTGTTTTTGTCGCTATACTGACCAATGCCTACAGCATATACGTGCCCCCAAGGGTATCATCTACCCAATGACCAGTATTTCAATACTGACATACACGACATAATTAAGCTTATACAATTTGTCTGTAATTTTCAGTTTAAATGTTTACGAGCTTATGTAGTATTTTGATTTGTATGGTATAGGTGCAGAAATTCCTAACTGGGGTTGCTGTCTCATATATTCATCATCTCCATTTATCAATATCTTCATACTATTATGTGAAACAGCAACATCAGATTCATAACTCATGCAATTTCTTATTATAATATTCTTTAGAAAAATCAGTGGGGATCCAGAACTTTTTATAAGGGGGCCCACTGACTGACATAAGAGGGGGCCTGCTCCAGTCATGCTTCAGTGATTCTCTATATAATCAACCAAATTTTTCCCACAAAAGGCCCCCCCCCCCCCCCCCCCCCCCCCCCCCCCCCCCCCCCTGGATCCGCCTATGAAAATGCCCACAAATATCAAATATAAGATCTACAAAGTAAAGCAAAACTATTTTCTCTTCATGTCATTTAGAAAGTCCTCTTTAGACATGCAGGAAGGCAAAGAATGACTTTGCTTCATTGTTACAAATACTGTATTAATAATCAAACCATTACATCAACTGTTCTGTAAATATAGGTTCTACATGAACAACATGCACAGAAAAGTTCTACCATCTCCATAACTTTCCACAGGAAGTGAAGGCATCATACTACCTCAGCAGCAAATATATACCTATTTCCAAATGGTTATTATTCAGAGCTATCTCAATCTGTTTTCATATTTAAAGGTTATGCTGCTACAAATTTTTGCAAGCATTAATCAATTACTGATAGTAACTTAACCAACTTTTCATAAATAACTGATAAAACTTCTGAAATTTTACATTACACATATTTGCAGTTGTCTTATATGAAACAGACTTTAATAAGATCAGCTAAAAATAGAATACTGATGAAAGCTGTTTAGATGATAAACAAAAATAGACAGGAAGCAATCATCTTATTATTATCTACATTGTACCAGCAAATAACACCCACATCAACTGTAAACTGTTTAATTAACCTGAAATTAAGGAAATCAGTTCATGAATTTCTAAAAGTTGGTTCTTTCCTTAAATCATCTCAGAATGTTAATTTACAGCAGCTCATATAAACCTTCTTTTTTTATTGGATTGTTGAAATATTCTATTAAAAAAACATAAAAATTGAATTGTTCAATACAAGAAAATTTCACTTTTTTTTTCTTTCCTCAGACTAACAAGCATGCAGATCAATATTTTCACTTATTGTACATGTCCTCGTGGCAGAATTGGATTTCACTTTTTTTTTTAATTCTAAAACATCAAAAAATTTTAATTTCTTATCACTGCATGGTCACAAATTATAATGTTTTAATTAACTTCCACGCTCAAGTGACAAATCTAAATCTAATGGAATAAAGGATAAAAATCAATTTTTGCAGTCATAAATACATGCACCAAAAATTAACATTTTTCTTATGGGTCTTCACAAAGTTTTACAAATACTTACTAGTCCGAATAAAATTTTACTAGTCTGGGGCATCAGACTAGTGGCTAACGGTGCCAACTGAATTTGGATTACCCCACTCACCATGCTCACCCAAACATGATGACATACTTTAATCTTGGTTCAGTCTAGTAAGACATGTCACCCACACATACAAACAGAGATGACCAGACCCTGTTCCCGAAACTAAATATTACATGTACAGGTATGCTACATAGAGAAGATCCACAAAAAACAAGAAATGAATGTAACAGGATGCTGTTACGAAGTCTCCCAAACGAAGCTCCCATAATTCGTAATTCCCAGGGTTGCCTGACATTGGGCAACTTCCAGTGAAAATTGGTTTGGTCCAGTAAAGTTATATGCATTAGTGATGCCTGGGGACTAACCTTGTATATCATTCAAATCATCTTGGCATGACAAACCAGAATATATA